AAAATACTTGTTTCAACATTACATGGGTAAAAATTATAGTCAATTATTATTCAATTTGGATCCTTTATTTTTAGAATTTAATTTGGTTTCACTATTTTTAAATGATTTAATTTAATCCTCTAACTTGTAAAAAAATGTTTAATGTTGTCTGATTTTAATAAGGCATGTCAATTTGGATGGAAGATTAACATTGAACATTTTTTAAAAATTAGAATGATTAAATTGAATTATTTAAAAATAGTAAAAATAAATTAAATCTATAAATAGAGGGGCAAAAATATAATTTAATATTTTCTCAAATATTACTTCCGGGTGGGTGTCATATACAGTAGAATCTTAGGTAAGGCTGGATGAAAGAATAATGTTTATATCGAAGGCATGCAATTCAACTTCTTACCCTTGGCAGGTTGTGGGGTCACCTGAGGAAACTAGCAGACTCTTGTTATGTGAAGCAACGTTAACAGTGATGCGACAGTGCTTTTATATCCTTGGAATTGATCCAGTATACAGGATATAACCCATCTGAAGAGGTGGTTCAATTGAAATTTTTGCAACAGATGTTTTTGTCTGCAAGGTGCAGGAAACTTCATGTTCTCGCTAATTATCGGTTCCCTTGTGTGTTTTGTCTATCGTATGAAGGGAAAGTAGGAAGGTTATAGTAATTTTATTGAGAAAGGTTCTTTAAAGTTTAATTTGATGTTATTATTATAAGAGCTGTTTCCTTTAAATTGTAGGCTTTATATTAGTGATTTGTCTTACGTTAGTGTTCATTTTCTATATTATTTATTTCGTTGTCTTTTGGTTTTAGTTTTGAAACTGTATAACGTATGTATATATATGTATATATTTTAAATTTAAATTATATTCGGCTGAATTTTTTTGAACTCTAAAATAAGTTGCGTAGACGTTAATTAAGGTCTGAAATGTATTCTTTAAAATTATTTTTTTTCATCTTATTATGTATTAGGCCAACTTATTTGTTAAATATATGTATATTTAGATAGCCGAGGTATGTCTTATTAGTTTTTACAAGTATTTTTGTTTGAGAAATGCATAGGAACAATTTTTATTTTATATACCTAAAGTTTATGATAAATAATTTTAATGTATAAATCATATTATAATTAATTTTACAATACTTACATTTTTATCCTATTAATTATATTTTTGACTTATGATTAATAATTTGTAACTTATATTGAGACATAAGATTATTTTTAATTATTGATAATTTATTTTAAAAAATTTAGGCTAAAACCCTATTTTGGTCCCTTATATTAATTGGTTTCAATTTAGTCCCAAATTAATTAATTGGTTTCAATGTGGGACTTCCGTCCAAATTATTTAAACGGAGTTAATTTTTGGCCACGTGGATGCCACGTAGATGCATACGTGGATGACAATTTTTGGCTAAAAACCTATTTTGGTCCTTTATAATAATTATTTGTTTCAATTTAGTCCCAATTTTATTTTTGGTTTCAATTTGGTCCCAAATTAATTAATTGGTTTCAATTTGGTCCCAAATATATTAATTGGTTTCAATTTGGGACTTCCGTCCAAATTATTTAAACGGAGTTAACTTTATTTAAACAGAGTTAACTTTTGACCACGTGGATGCAGTTTTGATCTCTCAAGTATTACAATTGTGCAGTTTTGATCCTCAAGATTTTAATTGGGTAATTTTAATCCTTAAAGAATTATAATTGCGCGATTTTGGTCTTTCAATTTTTAATTGAACAATTTTAGTCTCTCAAATATCATAATAGTACGATTTTAGTTTCTCCCATTAAAAATTAATAATTTTAATATATATATATATATAATATTTTTAAAATTAAACAAATTAACTTAATTTTTGAGTAA